GTTGAGAAATTTCTTATCATTCAGCCTCTGGTCGATCGTCGATCCAGTCACGTGGCTGTTGCGGCCCTCGTTTGGTCGGTTCTTGTAACATTACATGCATCACAAGCAGTAAGTTGAATACCCTTTAGTAATAAGATCGGTACTCGGAATCCAGTAATTTGTAATAATTTTAGGCTCGTGGTTATCGTCTCGCTAACCACTGTTTTGCAAACGCATTAAATACATGTCGAGTATGTTATAAATCGTACATCATAAGAGAAATAAGAAAGAAGACTTGAACATTTAGTTGCAAGGCCAAAAGGGTATGCAGAGGTGAGTAGCCCCTCCCCCTTATTCGAACCCAGCTCCGTCCCCTCAGGCAGAAGCTGTGTTGTGTGTAGGGACTCTCCCCGGGTTCGATGACGTCATCATTTTGGGGTGGACTTCCTTGTGCACAACGTGTATATTGTATTTTATTAATTTCTAGGTTTTTTTTCTTTACGTTGCGCACCCAAATACTAATATGATTTGCTTTGCTTATTTTTAGAAAGGAATTTGACTTACCATGCGTATTGGAGTTTGATCTTACATCAGGCAAGACTAAAGAAATTAGTCATTCAGTTAACTCACACTCAACCACGCAAGGTCAGAAATAAGTACTATGAAGACAAAATCGGAAACTCGAAGAAATCTAATGTAATATTATACTAATCAAGTCCTTGCGCCAGATTATATTTAGGCAGGTATCCCCCATCCTTGGTTTCTCTTGCACCACACGAGAGGAAGTGCAATAACCGCACGTTAAATATGTATATAAATAGACAGATATATTTAGATAAAATATTCATAAAGATAATTATACAGATATATAGAAAAGAGACAAGAATAGATAGAGACAACAATAATGTCAACTTCGTCTTCGAGTATATGCTGAGTAATGCAAAGCTCAGCAACATGTTTGTTGTATTGCATAATAAACAGACTGGAGAAAAAAAGATCGAGGAAATTCAACTTTTTAAGTAGAACCGAGCATGACTCCAGGTATTTTTTATGAGTATAATTAACAAGCGTTCCTTTAAGACCAGCAAGAACTTACAGGCCAAACAGATAAGTAAAAGGGCGCCTCTTAAGTCATGAGGATAACTTGACTAATTAAGATGCAATACTTTATTCAGTTCCTGTTAAGACTTCCCTATCAACACTGAAAATGTCCTCAAATTCATGTTGATAATGGAGGATTAATGTCAAACGAATGCATTTCCGTATGGATAAACCATGGTATATTTGTCTTCGCTTAAAATACCATCACATGATGAGTCATGTCACTTCAGTGCTGTTAGACCAGTATGTTGACAGAGCTGAATATTTGTTTTTTAATCTTACATTTCTATATTGAATCCAGGCAAATACATGAACAGTCCAGTAGATTTTCAATAGGCACTTTGTCTACTGAAGCGTACAATGTAATTCTTACTAATAACATTTCTGTAACTTTTCTTCGTTTCCATCTACAGGCATTGGGCGTGGTGATGGCCTCTCTCACGCACTTAGCAATTGGAACGATCGTGGGCCTTCCTGGGGTGACGTTGCCGCAACTCACGGATCCGAACACGGAGGACATCTTTCTCGACACAGCACAGGTGGCGCTTTTTGGTGAGTCATTAACGGTAAAAAGTTAAATTTACTAATCATAACTGAAATGAAATACTGGCACGGAATAAAACCCATTTTTTATTTGTTCTACTGTGATATTGCTACATTCTATATGATTGTACACCTTGCTGCATTTGTTGTTTGTATTGAAGTTCACTTACAAGTCAGAGTTTTGTTTTTCCTTCGTTAAATCTTGGATTGGAAACGCTGTTACTGTTAGTTTCGTTTGTGTCACGAAACATACACAGCATTCTCTTCTTCCTGTGGCTCCGTATGAAGTCAAAATTACCACGTCCTCGTCATTACAGGTAGTTTAGTCCACATCGGCGCCATCGTGGGATCCCTTGTGGGCGGAGCGTTGAATCTGCGCCTGGGTCAGCGAGTGACTCTGCTGATAGCGATGCCCTTATCGCTGGCGCTGTGGCTGGCTCTGGCCTTTTCTCCGGCTGTGTGGATGGTGCAGGTGGCGCGCACGCTGCTGGGAGTGGCGCAGGGCCTCGCTGGCGCCGCAGCCAATAATTATGTGGTAGAGGTGGCCCACACCTCCGTGCGAGGCCGGTTCGCTGGCTTCGTCGACACAGCCAGGCAGCTTGGCTTCCTGTTCGCTTACGTCGTCGGGAGCACGGGCTTGTCTTGGCGCCACGTGAGCCTCGTGTGCGGCTTCGTGACGGCCATCCCCCCCTTCATCGGCCTGCTCTTCCTGCCCAACTCGCCCCGGTGGCTGGTGACCCGCGGGCGCCTGGAGGAGGCCCACAAGGCGCTGAAATTCTACCGAGGTCCGCGCTACGACGTCTCCTCCGAGCTCAGCGCCATCACCGAGCAAATCGACCGCACCTCCAGCAGCACCATGGGCACCAAGGACCAGCTGCGACTGCTGAGGGAGCCGTCTGTGAGTCGGCGTCTGGTGCTGCTCACCTTCCTCATGTTCATCCTGCAGTTTACTGGCAACATAACCATCGCCACATATGTCGTGACGATCCTAAAGTCCTCCAACACAGGAGTGGACGCCTACACGAGCGCCATGTTGGTGGGCGGCATCCGCGTCGTAGGCACCGTCGCCTTCCTGCTCCTGGTGGACCGCGTGGGCCGCAAAGCCATTGTCCTGGCCACGTGCGTCGCCTGCTCCGTGTGCCTGACGGTGTTCGGGGTGTATTTCTACCTGCAGAACCAGAGCGCCGACCTCAGCCACCTGACGTGGCTGCCGCTCACAGTGCTCCTGCTGTACATGCCTCTCGTGTGCGCGCTGGAGGCCGCCACTTGCCTCCTTCGGGGAGAGCTTCTTCCCACCAACGTCCGAGCCGTGGGCGCCGCCCTCATGTACATCTTCTTCTTCTTGGGGATGTTCGCCACCGCCCACTCCTTCCCCGCCAGCGTCTCCACCATCGGAGAGCACGGAGTCTTCTGGCTGTACGCGGGGTCGTGCCTCCTGATGGCGGCGGTGGTGGGCCTCTCGGTGCCCGAAACCCGCGGACTCTCCCTGGAGCAGATCGACGACTTCTTCCGAGCGCAGAGAAAGCGCACGGACGCTTCGCAGATAGAAAAAGATTCGAAAAGTTAATGCGTTCTATCTCTTTTTATCTTCGAAATGACTAAATGTAACTTTTAAGTATTGTTAATGCGCTTAAGTTTTCTTTGTTATTTGTTATTTTTTTAATAAAGATGAAAGACTGCTGTGAGCAAACTTGGGAACCTCTTCACAAAAACAGACAACACAGCATTAACTTTAAGTTCTTAGAGAACACAAGAATTTTCACCTCAAAGCAAATGGCAATGGAAAAGGTTTAAAGACCCATTCGTTATATTTACAGACATCTACACTGCACCTTGTGTTTAATACGTCTCATCCTCATAAATATAAGGTCTCCAAGGGCGTGAGTTCGAACCCTGATCAAGGTCCGAGTTGAGCAAGGACATGCACTCGGTATAACGGTCCCTCGCTGCCAGATCCAAAGTCCTTTTACAGAAGACACCGTCCTAGCCCTTACGAGGGAGTTCGTGACGTAAAACCGTATCATCAATAAACTGTTTTATCTAATCATCAACACATTTTGCGTTCAGGTCCTGTTTTTATTCACATCGTTAAACGTATTCTACTTTTCTTTTTAATCTACTTTTAGGTCCTGTTTTTATTCACATCGTTAAACGTATTCTACTTGTCGACCAATTTTCGTTGTAGACATTTTTGTAAGTCGTTTGTTTGTGGCTAAATGCCCATCTATTTGAAAATGTATTTAACCAAAGATCATGATTGATTTTTTCGTGTCGAATTAGCTACCTGTGATATTTCGAAATAGATGTAATGAAAATTTGTTAGAAATATACTCACTGAACTGACAGCTAAATTCTTTTTCTAATCCTTTCGAGTGTTTACTTGTCTTTGAGAAGTACGTTTGTTGTAGATTTAGGAAATATTACTATTTTGTGTGTGTGTGTGTGTGTTGTCATCTGAAGAAAAATTACGAAAATAAGATAAGAATAAGAATGAATAATTGGGTGAAGAAAAGTGTTATTTTAGTAAAGTCAGGGAAATGCCCTTTTAGTCAAGATCAGGGCAAGAAAAATGTCATTTTCGTAAATTCAGGGAGGAAGAAAATTGTTCGTTTAGTTAAAATCCTGGAAAAAATCGTTCTAGTAAAGAAGAATCATAGAAAAATATCCTTTGAATAAAAATCAGGGACAGAAAATATTTTTTATTCAAAATCAGGGACAGAAAAATGTCCTTTCAGTAAAAATCAGGGAAATAAAATATCTGACAAAATTAGAAACAGAAAATTATCATTTTAGTTGAAAATCATAAAACATTTTTTTTTTTTCAAAATCAGGAACAGAAAAAATATCCCTTTAGCTGATATCATGATTCTTTTTTTTTTTTTTTTTTTTGGGGGGGGTTAAAATCAGGGACAGAAAAATATTCTTTTAGTTGAAATCATGAAAATATGTTTTGGGGGGAGTGGGGTTCTCACAATCAGGGGCAGGATATCATGTTTTATTTTGTCTTTTTTATTTTATCTTTTTTTAGTGGGGGTGAGGGGGGAGTGTCAAAATCAGGGACAGAAAATTATCCTATTAGTTGAAATCATGAGAAGAACAATATCCTTTTTTTCAAAATCAGGAACAGAAAAATATTTATTTTTTGTCAAAATCAGGAACAGAAAAATACGTTTTGTAAAAATCAGGGACAGAAAAATACCTGTTTTGTAAAAATCAGGAACAGAAAAATACCTGTTTTGTAAAAATCAGGGACAGAAAAAAATCAGAAAATACCTGTTTTGTAAAAGTCAGGGACAGAAAAATACCTGTTTTGTAAAAGTCAGAAAAAATACCTGTAAAATCAGGGACAGAAAAATACCTGTTTTGTAAAAATCAGT